GACTCAATTTCCCTTCACAGATGCACTAGCTACTAGCAAGAAGCAGAGCAACAAATCATTCCGCGGATTATTTAGTTTTCCAAATATTTTTTTTTTTAATTTCATTGTTTTTACAAAGTCTTACAATATGCATTGAGTGTCGTGGAATTTTCTATCTCCTTCAATTATCATGGATGATTCAAGATGGATCTTCTTCTTTATTTTTGTCAGCTATTTAAATACAGGTAAGTAATCAAATCTTCTATTCGGCATGGTTCATGTTAAAATTTCGTATAAGTTGGATGCTGTTTTTTTTTCTTTACATGAAAATTGCTCACGTTTTTGACATGCGATACGGTCTCATTATCTATATATCAAAGCATATCCCTTGATAGTTCTTGAAGTAAAATATTTGATAAAAAAATGTTTCGTAAAATTTAATCTTTAAAAACAATTAAAGAAAAAAATCAGTAAAATTATATATTTGATTATTCATTTTATAACAATTAAAGTATTTCTTAATCAAAATATCAAAATACGGATGTACAGACGGACTATCTATTATAATTTCATCGTGTTTTATTGCTATTAGCCTGATTATTTATTGGCAGTTAATATAGTCTGCATTGCTATATGGAAATGATGAAAGGGATTGTAAGGGATTGTAAAAAAAACATTATTACATTGGTATAAATATAGCAATACAAAGTAGCTCGCCTTCAGATGGTAAAATGTAAACAAAAATGAGCATTTAATACTGGTCAATTTTGTTTAACGTGAACGCGAAATTTCATCTCTTTATTTATTAAAAAAGTTTACAAAATTGTCATCAAAACCTGATCTTTTCTTAATCTAGTGGTTACAAACGCATTATACATGTTAAAGTAGCCGGTATAAATAGAAAAGACAATTTTTTCAACATCATCATGTGTCACAACAGTGGTTCCCGGCATTCAGTGACTTTTCAACCACTGTCACATGATACTAGAGACAACCCAGAATTGTGTAATAATATCCCGCCGATAACTAAGAAAAGCAGACTGTATGTTTTCGGAGGAAAAATGTCAAAATATTTTACGATTTCTTTCAGTTATATTATATGCATGTATTTTAAAAGAGATTTGTAAATATAAGCACAACCCTCGATTTTATGTTATCTTTTTGATGTGTGCTACTTTAAAGAATTTCATTATTTCTGTAAAGAATTTCATTTTAGACCCTTCACAAAAAGAATGTTTTTTGTGGTTACTTTCGAAAAAGGATATGCATAGTTCGTAAAATGTGTGGTTGTTTCTATGGCATTGATTAAAATTTAAATTTCTTAAATAAATCTCATGGAATACTTAAAACAGAATGCATACTTAAAACAGAATGATATGCAAAGGATAATCATGAAATATGCTCAGAAATAAATTGACTTTCGCGGTTATGACAATCATTGATAGTTATCAGTGTCACACTACGAGAGTCCTTCAAAATCCTCCAATTTTTAGAGAAAAAAAACAACAATAGTTTTGTACAACGGCGAGACTATTTAAGTATTTATTGTTTTTAAGGTGAACATATAAAAAAGTGTATATATTTTTTTCAAAATTTTAGATTAAAAAACATACATGTTGTATAATCTAGTCGATTTCTGAATACATATGAAATGGAAGTTTCTGGGGCATTTTCCCGTACACAATTAAAATTTCAGATTCAACACATACAAGAATGTTAAATGAGTGTTGAAAACTAGATGACGGCTTCTGGTGCATTTTCGGGTACACATACATTTACATACACATTTTTATATTGCCATGAAACTTTCAGACATGCCATGTTAAACTTGTCTTTGGATCTTTTACTTAATATATGACTGATGCTGAATAATCAAGACTTCTTTCATAGACAAAGTTGTGAATAACCAGCCGAGTTTTGTGATTTAATGTTTTAAAAACAAAAACACACATATCGGTGTGTTACATCGGTTCTTTGGTATTTTCATTTATTTCTTAAATCCTTACCATGCTACAAATTTTAACGACTTTGTACTGCTGAAGTCCTTCAAGGATAAAGTTCCATCGGACTCATACAAATGATTACTTAACTGTTGAATAACTGTTTAAATACATTTAAATTACAGGATCTTTGAACAATGGAAGTTCTTGATACAATCACTGTGATGGTTTATCTGTCATTATTATCATTATTTGGAACTATTGGCAACAGTTTGGTACTTTACATATACTCAGATAAGAAAGAAAAGTCAACCGCTGGAATATTTATAATGAGTCTCGCAGGTGCTGACCTATTCACGTGCCTGATCATAATGCCTTTTACTGAGGCCGATATTTATCTGGACTATTATTTACAATATGATGTGCCATGCAATATATACATGTTCTTTATCACTTGCAACATAACGTTTGCTGCGTTCATCATGGTTGCTATCGCGACAGATAGGTATTTTTGTATATGCCATCTGTTTCTTCATGTTTTGAATATAAGACGCGCGAAGATAATAGTTTTCTGCCTGTTAGTAGCGGCATCATGTTTGGGAATCGTGACTTCACTTATACGTGGCGTTTATGTTTTTTTCGGCAAAACTGGAATGAACAAAACATCAAACTTCTCTACGCTTGAAACGCTTGAAAATGTTGCGTTAAATAAGTCAAGAAGTCTACAAAATGATGAGATCAAACAAAACGAAACTGAAACCTTCAATTTTCAAGACAGTGCTCAAAACGTTACATGTTATTCGAACTTATCGGTCCTAGCTGATGTATTATCTCAAAGTACAAATACAGCTGGAACAATACAGTATACAGGATTCTGTCTACCAAACTTTATCATTATTGGTCTAGTACATGTAGACATGTACCAGAAGATGTATGCGGGCACCTATCTACTATCATTTGTTGCCGTAGTAGTTTTATACCCCTGATATACAAGTCCATTCACGAACACCGAGCCAAGAGAAGCAAAAGGAAACGATCCAGTCTATGTCCTGCTGGGGTAATATCTTTAATAAGGTTCGTCAATTCTGATCTAATATATATCACCTGTGAAGAAATATTAGATAGTATGTAACATATTGGACATCTGGAATCATTGCACATGACTAATTATCATAATTTGATAAGAATTTTAACAGTTATGATTTATAAATTTATGAAGAATAATAGGACGAGACTAATTTAAGCAATATTTACATGAACAGATGAAATGTTGTAGCCCACAACAAACTTATATAATGCGGGGCAAAAACAAACATGATATGAAAATTCGCATTTGTCGCAGGTTCGTACATATCATGTTATAACAAATTTCGTTTCGAGTTACATTATATGAATCTTATCATAAAAATTGGACATTCTCTTTGTTTTATCTATGTAATACTTACATATGAACACACCTGCGGATGCTTCTTTAATTGCAAATGTCACTTTTGTCATATATAACAGCTGCAATCCTTTCATTTTCGCCGTCTTTTGGTTGTTTTAGTGACTTTGTTTTTACTTCTATTTTACAAATCAATTATGTTTCATTTATTACAGATCGATGCATTATCTGTAAAAGAGAAAACTCTTATTGCGAACATTCATACCGCACTTATGTTATTTGTGGTAGCAATAGTGTTTGGTGTAACATTTTTACCGGCATGGCTGATGTCACTCCGTCTGGTGAACTACAATCAGATAGTGTTCTATATGTACTTTATGTATAACACTGCAAATCCTTTTATTTACGCGTTTATGAACAAATCTTTACGTGACGATTTAGGCAAAGTCCTGAAGTGCAACAGTATGGCAATGGTGTAGTTGTTACAGCATTGCTACAAAGTTTACGAGAATTGATAGTGAAATGAAAATTTCATATATAATTGATACAAATGTTACATATTGTTACAAGCGTTACAGCATAAGCCCTAAACTGCTTAGAAATCGAAATCTGTAACCTTACATAGATGTTAGAAGGTTGTATTATAAATGTATAGATCTAGTTGTTACAACATTGTTGCAAGTGTAACAAGAGTTTGAAGTGAAAACTTCATATGAAATTGTTACAAATGTCACAGAATGTTACAACTGGAACAGCACAAGCCTACTAAATGGTCAGAAATCGGATTAAATACACTTTAATTATGACCAATCTAACTAGAGATGACTTAAACTGGGCCATTTCAAAATTTTTAAAGAACTACTTTCTAGACTACAATTGGTTCGGTCAAATTCGGTACCGGGTTGAGACCTAAATGAATCCAAAATTTAAGTTAAGCCAAACTTTCTACTCATTTCCTAGTAATTTAGTGTTATACAAGTACAATCATATAGGTTTGACATGTCTCTAACAAATTACATTAATGCAGTACAATTTCTTAAATATGAACCTTCATGCGAAAAGTCAGGCTCGGCCAATAGAATTTTACGCAAAAATTTATATTACAAATTCTGTCATATCTTTTGATTCTGTCAATGGATTTTCTTCGAATAAAGTTTAATGTTACCGGCTAATGTCATACAGTTATTTTTATGAAAGAATAAGACCTTATTGCTTAAAAATTGTAATAAAAACTCCATTTCTTTAAATGGGAGCATGAAATTTTGGGTTAAAATACAAGTAATCACAATTAAATGTGCTTTTTTCATAACTTTTTCCTTCAATATTGTAATAAAACTTACTGATTATGATTTTTACCTATATACCATGGTAAATAAAGTAAAGAACCAACATACACACCCTACATTGTTTGCTTAAGATATCAATAAAGACAAACAGAGGTAATCTTAAGGTTAGCAAAGAGGTTACCATATCACCATGGGCTATGTCTTCTGACAAAGTAAGATTAGCCAACTCTCACACAAATAAGGCTTAAAAAAGATGACACATACCGTCTCCCACTTTAAATCATTGAGAAGTCTTAATATAGTCAGAATTAGAGAAATTTTCTCCTGATATACATCAAAATAACTACCAAATATTGCCCGAGCATTGGGAGTCGCTACCGTCAATAGCTGAAGTTTCAAACTAGACATAAGTTATTACCTTCTCAATGTGTCCTGACAAAGCTGCTGCCAAACTGAGCTGAAGGAGTCCTTCCATAGATCTTTACCAGGATAAGGTAAGGTCCTTTACTCAAACCCAGGCTTTGGTAACTGCACGGTCTGAAAAAATATGCAACACTAGTACAAGCCTAAGAAAATTATAAGAGGCATTTATGCTGTAATTCTGATATCTGAAAAAGAAAGAAAATAATGTCTTAATTAATCAATGGCTAGATTTGCTAATTCACACAGGAGAGCTTATATAAATATTGTGTGCTGAAAAATGCATGCCTGCATGAAAATAGCAGTTTAGACATTATAAATCTAACCTTAATTAACTGATGTAGCAGCTACAACAACAACAATCATATCAACTGTGTTATTCTAAATGAGCCAATTATCCATAAAGGACACTGTTTAATGACTAGAAAATATTTTATGTGTATATATTAATAGCAAATACATTCTGCAACACAGCAAAACATCAAGTTTCACTACACTGAAAATGCCTATATTTCCAAATTTTATAAATCACATTTGTCCTGTTCAATTGTCAGTTCTGCTTCATTGAAATACAAGAAAATAGTGAATATTTACATACTGATTACTACAGCATCAATCCTTTGCTGAAACATCAAAACATATAATGTGTGGTCCATATGAGCAATAGGCTACTATGGTGCTTGTTCGAATCCCATGGCCGGTGCTTCTTGGGCCCCTTAGAGATCTCTGGAATGAGCTTGCCAATCACTTTTTTTACCAATGTAACCAATCTGAAACCACACACTCCCCAATTCCTTGCAATGCATAATTTATCCATAATTTAAGATGCATTTCTCTAAAAATTATCATTTTCTATATAAATCTTATAAAAATAAGCTAGATTTATAGTATATTGCTAAACACAGGGTGCAAAAATAAAATTTATCAATTTATAAACTGCTTTTTACAAAATTTAAATTTCATTTTTTAATTCTAAATTTATCTTTACAGTTTTAATTCAATAAAATGTGGTTAATCTTTCATGCAAAAGCTCTGTACCCTTCTCCCTGCTTACTGACACAGTAGCAGACATCTACATTTGAAGGGGAGATAACAATAACAACATATGTCCCAATTTAAAATGTCAAAATTTAAAATTTGAAATAAAATTTAAAATTTTCAAACCTGTCAGTTATCCTTTATTTTCCTGACTTCTTTTCATAAACACATCACTGATGCAAAGTTTCATCCATATCCATCAACCAGTTCCAATTTTTCTTATTTCTTATCTAGGACTCGGACCGGTGAATTTTCGTACTATTTGTTCTATAGTAAATCAGTCAAATTTGAGGCTTAATTCTGGATTCCACTGTTCTTGATGAATTATATACTGTCTTCAACTTTAAACATTAAACATTACTTACTATCTAAGTCCAATGAGGCCCAAAATATAATAGGTTAGCCATCTACTTTTTTCAGAAATCTTCATTCTGTTGTAACACTGTTTAAATTCACCTCTTTAAAAACTCCTGACAGCTGGTGGGTAGTACATCTTTAATCCTTCCACTAACAAATGAGTTCCTGGAGAATACACAAAAAATAACTTTTAAAGTCATCATATAACACACAAAAACTACCCACATGCAATAAATACACTTTAATTATGACCAATCTAACTAGAGATGACTTATACTGGGCCATTTCAAAATTTTAAAGAACTACTTTCTAGACTACAATGGGTTCGGTCTAATTCCGTACCGGGTTGAGACCCGACGTGCTACAGAAGCAGTACGGCATGAGCGGTTCAGTGCTCAGCTGGCTTGATTCATACCTTCGTCCGAGGGGCTGTCGCGTGTGTGTCAACTCGGCGGTCTCAGCTCCACGGCAACTAGAGTGCAGTGTCCCCCAGGGTAGTTGTTTAGGGCCTTGGCTCTACCTAACGTATGCGGAAACCTTGTTTGACGTGATTCCATCTGGATTATCGGTGTATGGATTCGCTGATGACCATACTGCAACCAAACTTTCTAAACCGACTGAAGAAAATAGTGAAATTTCTGCAATCGCTGAATTAGAAAATGGTGCGATTGATATCAACAACTCGAAAAGTGTCACCTAAAATCCATTTGTATTAACGGAGATAAGATCAACTCCAAGGAGTCCATTGGATATTTAGGCGCATTTCTAGACCAAACACTAAATTTCAAGGAACATGTCAAACGAAAGTGCCGTACTGCAATGTTAAACTATCTTAGAATAAAACGTATCCGAAAATACCTCGCCATAGAAGCAGCTGAAATACTAGTTATAGCACTCGTAATGTCACACTTGGATTATTGCAATGTCATACTTTATGGTGTATCAGATCTTGAATTGAAAAAAATGCAACGTATTCAAAACATGTGCGCTAAGTTAGTTCTGCAACGAAAGAATTTTGACAGTTCAAGGCAAGCATTGTTCGACCTTCACTGGCTGCCCATCAGATCTAGAATCGAATATAAAATTTTGACTTTTGTATACAATTGTTCAATCGGTCATGCTCCAAAATACCTTTCTGAACTCCTAACCAAACAAGTACCAAATACCCGACTACGTTCAGCTAAAACCTCTGAGAACTGCTACGTTATTCCATTCAATAAAAGAAAAACATTTAGTGACAGAAGTTTCGGAACTATTGGTCCAAAATTGTGGAATCCGCTGCCATTAGAGTTGAAACAATCTAAGAATATTTATGTATTTAAGAAAAATCTTAAAACACATTTTTTCAGAAAGTTTGAATCACTATTTTAAAATCTGAAATGAGATAAACATGAGTAACGTATAACTGATCACTGACAGTGTGATGAATGTGCAATATAAATGAATGTTTTATTCTTTTTAATCTATTTGTAATCAAGTTTCATGTATGTAAATAATCTTATCTCATGCTACATGTATATCAATCAGTTTTATCACTTTATGGTCTCTGCAATTTTTTAAAAATATGTTAATTGGAATTGTATGTAAAAGCTTTTATTTCATTTGATGTTGATCCACATATTCTTATGCATTCACAATTTTATTCTTATTATTTATATGTACTGTACGTACAACGCCGTTGAATATTGTTAAATAGAAACAGGCGTTTAATTAAATAAAAAATTTCAAGTTTCAAGTAATTGCGAACATTCATACCGCACTTATGTTATTTGTGGTAGCAATAGTGTTAGGTGTAACATTTTTACCGGCATGGCTGATGTCACTCCGTCTGGTGAACTACAATCAGATAGTGTTCTATATGTACTTTATGTATAACACTGCAAATCCTTTTATTTACGCGTTTATGAACATATCTTTACGTGACGATTTAGGCAAAGTCCTGAAGTGCAACAGTATGGCAATGGTGTAGTTGTTACAGCATTGCTACAAAGTTTACGAGAATTGATAGTGACATGAAAATTTCATATATAATTGATACAAATGTTACATATTGTTACAAGCGTTACAGCATAAGCCCTAAACTGCTTAGAAATCGAAATTTGTAACCTTACATAGATGTTAGAAGGTTGTATTATAAATGTATAGATCTAGTTGTTACAACATTGTTGCAAGTGTAACAAGAGTTTGAAGTGAAAACTTCATATGAAATTTTTACAAATGTCACAGAATGTTAGAACTGTAACAGCACAAGCCTACTAAATGGTCAGAAATCTGATTAAGCAGGTTAACATAGATGATATAGTTGTTACAGCATTGATACAAGCGTTTGGGATAAAAAATATAATTGTTACACCTGTTACTGAAAGTTACAAATGTAAGAGCACAATCCCTAAAAATAGTCAGACATTTGAATTTATATGGTTACATAGATGTAATAGGACCGTAACATAGTTGTTATAGCATTGTTATAAGTGTTACGAGAGTTGAGAGTGAAATGAAAACTTCATATAAAATTGTTACAATTTTTACAATTTCAGCTTTAAAAGGGTTAGAAATCGGGATCAGTAGCGTTGCATAGATGTTACAAGTTTGTGACATAGTTTTAATAGCAATCTTACAAATGTTATGCGAAATAAGAGTGGAATTAATATTTTGCACTTAATTGTTAAAATTGTTTTAAAAAAATATATAAGTATGGGACGTTACGACTACAGCTATTGTATGTGTTAAACTGATGTAAAGTACATGTTACTTGGTGTGATCCCTGAAACATATTACAAGCGTTTCACTAAATTGCGCCCATGTTGTGCCCTATCTCAACAACTATGTAATAAGTATTTTTTATAGTGGTTGTTGTTATGTCTTCTACTAATCAACTCTAATTCATGATTATAAAGTTTATTCAACTGATCTGAATACATATAAGACAAAGATGACGTCGTCTCCAAGTGACGTCGTCGACGTCAAGTAAAGCTATTATCTAACAAGTAAAGCTAGCATTAATTTGTCAATATCACATTTCTCCCATATTTTAAAAGAAATAAATTTAAAAAGTATACCATAGGAAGTAAGATTAAGCATTATAAAATAAAGTTTTGTATCTATATTAATTTGTCTATCTTTTCTTTAAATCCAAAAAATAGTCTTTGAATTTAGATGGTAAACGTCTAGTACGTTTTGAAACTTCACGTTTTTGTGATTGATGTTGTTTAACCTCCCTTGGGTCACTACTGGATTGTTCAGCTTCATTTTCAATTCCATCAGTCCTTGGTTCTTGATCCCTCTCGTCCTGTATTGAATTATTTGGCTGCAAATGTCTACTTCTGTCTGGGGGTACTCAATAATTGTTGTCTCCAACGGTCATCATTTGGTTCATGTAGTAATTTAAATTCGATAGCATCTCTGTAAATGATACGTCCATCTGATTTTCGTTGTGGCCTTAATACTCGAACCTAAAACCTCTGTGACAATGTAATGTTCTTTCTCATATGGTGTAGACCCATTTATTCATTTCTCTATTTTTTAAACAAAACTTGTCATTAATTTTTTAAATTCATGCTTGCATAGATTTTGGAGTGTCTATTTTGATTTTCCCACTTTTTCTTGTATGCTTTATCTCGGCCACCAATCTCAGCTTCCATTTTCTGTATATCTGTAGGTCTGAATTGGTTAGTACAATCAAGCTTTGTCCTGACATTTCGTTTCATTAAGGCTTCATATGGAGAATATCCTGTTGCTGGATGTGGCGTTGATCTATATCCCATCAACATGTATTGTATGGCTGTATTGCTTGGTTTTCCTTTACTTCGTGCAATCTTCTCTGTCTTATTTCAATACTTTCATAAAGCTTTCAGCTTCCCCATTTGCTCTGAGGATGATCAGGTGTTATTCTATGATGGATAAATCCCATTTCTTCTGCAAATTCTGTAAATTCACTGGAATTAAATGGAGGACCATTATCTGATTCCAACCTTTCTGGTATTCCATGTGTGGCAAATATTTTACGCAATCTGTCACAGGTAACTTTGCACGAAGTTGATGTTGTTTGCTCAACAACTGGAAATCTTGTTCGCTTATCAAATAACTACTAAATTATAGTGACCATCAGGATATGGACACCCAAAGTCTACAGACATAGTATGCCATGCTGATTTCTGGTATTTCAGATGGTTTAACAGGTTCCTGTTTATGCTCAACAGTTTGATAACTGACATTGGTAGCACCGTGATATCTCATCTTCAACCATGGTATTCAGCCTTGGAAACCAATATTTTGCTCTCAACATCTGTTCCGTTCTTGTCATGCCAAAATGACCCATGCTGTGTGCGGCTTTTATAACATTCTTCTGTAACCGTTCTGGAATTACTATCTGCTTGCATCTCAGAAGTAGTCCTTGGGACTGGTATAAGTCATGCTTAATGAGATAATATGGTTTCATCTCTGGTCTGTTCTTATGGATTTCCCAATCATTGCATTTCATTCTTCTCAGAACATCCTGTAGTACATTATCAGATGCAGTTCTTTCCTTTATGGTCTGTAAAACCACACCATGTTCATTATTGATAATCATCTTGATTGTTTTGTCTGTATCATCCATATCTGTTCTGGAAGTGGATGACGCGATAAGTAATCCATCGATCTGCTGCATCTTTACCTGGTTCATACACTAATTCATAATCTACATCTTGCATTTCCATGATCCATTTTCTCAATCCTTGGAGGTAACTTAGCACATGCTTTATTGAACATAGGAATAAGAGGCTTATGTGCTGTAACTATTTTAAATTTTTTGGTGCGCCTAGTAAGTACATGGAAAATCGTGGCTTTCGCCATTTCACTGCTAATGCGTCTTTCTTGTTTGACTGTATCTCTTTTCAGCACTTGACATTGATCTGCTGATGTAATGCACTGGTTGCAAACCTTTGCTTGTCCTTTGAATAATCCCGCTGATAATCCTTCATGGAAACTTGCCTCAGTTCTTACAGTTATAG